ATTGTAATTTATTTTTACAACTACATAACAGTATTGTGTCATCTAGAAAAAATATACTTGTATATTTCATACTTGAATAAGAAATATACAAAATTATACAAATTATTTTGCTTGTATTCTTTGATAGTGTTGATATGATTGAGTTGAATATGAATATTATATTTCTAAATTTTGTGTAATTTAATATTGAAAAATTGAAGATTGAGCACCATATTCATATGTATTTATATTTTATGCTTCATATATATTTAGAGCATGTTTGAGCCAGATTATTAAAAATATTTTTTTTTAAACAGTGATTTGATATCATTTCAATCACACATTCTTCAATAAAATAATATTATACGTAAATCAAAAACTTTTCTTTATTTTTTAACCAAACATTTTCCATCAATACACTATTCAAGAATGCATTATTACCAAAGTAATGTGACTCAAACACTCCCTTAATATTTATTTTATGCTTATGTTGAAAAAATAAAAATCTAAATTTTTTTTTGAAATTCGATTTGCTAAGTGAATGTAAGGTGTTCTGCATTCTTGGTATTTGTAAGTGCAAAAATCGGTATATAAAAATACAGTAAGCTGCAAATACGGTAGGCAACATATACGGTAAGTAGCAAATATGGTAGGCAGCATATACGGTAAGGTAAAAATATGGTAAGTTGTTTGCAAATACGATAGGCTGCACATACGGTAGGCAACATATATGATAAGGTGCAAATACAGTAAGTTGTTTGTATAATACGACATGAATGAACAGTAATTGGCATATTGCCTCTTTTATTTTATTGTAGTAGGGATAATAGATAATAGAAATAAATAATAGGAAATAAACATAGAGCTACAGTAAATTACTTGTTTAAGTCAATAATAGAAATGTTCCGTGATGCACGGAGTTGGTTTATTAATTTTATTTTTTTATAATAATGATACTAGTGTCAATTTTTACTTTTTTATTTTTTTATGGGGTGATTGATATTTTTTTTGTGTTAATTTTTTTTCTTTTTTTCACTGGATGATATTTTTAATTTTTTTTTATATAAAAATCTACCATGAATCTCGAAATTCATTTCGAGAACTATATCATAGAATAATTTTTGACGTCATTTAGAAAAAAAATTTAAGACACACGTTTAATGTACGTTTAACTATTTTTGGTATTCATTTAGATCGTTCGATGTGTCTATCACATAGTTTTCGAAATAAGCTTCAAGATAATATAGAAGATTTATGCATTCGACTGCTGTACAATCATCGATGAATTTATAAAGTTAGCTTGTTATCAAAATTCTTAAATCTTTAAATGATGTCTGACATTAAAAAAATTTAAAAGTTTATTAGGAAATTTTCTAAATGATGTTATAAATTATTGTCGCGAAAAAATAATAAACATTAAAAAAATTTAAAAGTTTAGTAGAAAATTTTCTAAATGATGTCAAAAATTATTGTCGCGAAAAAATAATAAATATTAATAAAATAATTAAATTTTTTTTTTAAAGAAAAAGGATGAATTATACGCAACCAATAAATCGAATAAAATAGTGGAAGTCAACAATGAAGGCTTAGAAAGATAATTTTAGCCGCTTACGAAATATGTTTAAAATTTTTACCTTGGAAGAATTACTTTTTTAGAAGTAAGTCAATAGTAAGATTTCCATTAAATTTTTTTTCTTCTCATTTTTCTCTTTTTTATTTTCAATCGCAGAATCTTCCATAAAATAATATTATATGTAAATAAAAAAATTCATTAAATCGATTGGATATTGAAATGTATTTTCTGGGAAAAGGATAAATGTTCCCTTGATGCATAGATAAAAAATCAAAAATATTGTAGCTTATAAATCTAACATTATTTTAGTTTGAGTCGTTATTTTACATATAAAGGACTTATTGTACTTTGATTTATCACAACTATTTTTAGGAAATAAAAAATATACATGATTTAATATACTCCTTGTCACATTATATAAAGGTAAAATAGATTTGTATAAAAAAAAATATATCAATCACCAAAGAAAAAATGAAATTATATTTAGGGGTGGGCGCGGGTCGGTTCGGTTCGGTTCGGTTCTCTTTAGAATCGAACCGAACCAAAGTTTTTGGGTATATAGTAAATGGAACCGTCGGGTCCAAATATAATTATGGAACCGTTCAGGTTTGGTTCCGTTCGGTTCGGTTTGGTTCGGTTCCATTCGGTTCTGTACTATAATTAAATTTCTTAACATTTATAACAACATTATATAAATACAACTAATGATACATTCAATGGTTTTCGAATGCCATAGACTAGTAGACAACATTTTTCAAATGATCGCTACGATCAAAGCTTCGGTCGGCGGAGGTCGCAACTTCGATCGGAGGTCACAGTATCGGCCGACGATTGTATAGGTTTTGAATGTCAGCGAGGCTGCGAGAGCGAATACGAAAGTCGAGACAACGTTATGCACTTTAGTGTATGTGTTTAGAGTTATTTAGTGGATTGGATCTTGTTGAACTAAGAAATGAAGCAATAAAATGGGTAATGGGGCAAAAAATTAAAAAATTAGAAATGAAACAAATTATTGGGCCAAAGTTTTGAATTTAGAAATTGTTAATTTGTTAATAGAAAAAATTAAAATTAAAATAATTTGATTTACTCAATATAAAAAAAAATTAGAAATATTCAATTCTTATTCGATTTTTCGGTTCTTGGTCTAGAACCGAGAACCGAACTGTACCTGTCGGTTCTCAATTCAGATACCCGTTCGAGTATTTAATTTGACAAGAACCGTCGGATTTGGTTCAGTTCGGTAGGTTCGATTCGGGAGATTTGCCCAACCCTAATTATATTGATAAAATTGTCGCGAAAAAATAATAAATATTAATAAAATAATTGATTTTTTTAAAGAAAAAAGGACGAGTTATGCGTATTTTTTAACACACGCTTGATATAAATCTTCTATATTCTCTCGAAACTCATTTCGAGAATTATATCATAGATGCATTGAATTATATAAATGAATATCGAAAATAGTTAAACATACATCAAACGTGTGTTTTAAAAAATACGTATAACTCGTCTTTTTCTGTAAAAAAATCAATTATTTATTAATATTTATTATTTTTTCGCAACAATTTTTATAATAAAAATATTATGTGGTATAAAACGCAAGATAAATTATCCAAGGAAAAAAATTGTTGTACCCGGTTAGGAGTGAATGGCTTATCGGTATACATGTAAGGGTTAAATGGGTAATAATGAAATGCTTCCTAAACAAATAGTAACTGGCATGATAAAAAATTCTTACAATTCACTGCCATAATTTTTGTCTCACTCTCTCATGATGCACAAGATTTTTTTTTGGAAGGGACAGCTACAATAACTCACTTGTGTAAGTCAACAATGGAGGCAACAAAGTGGTCTCATTAATTTCATTTCTGGAAGCTACAGCATCTAACGAAGTGAAAATGATATTTTTTAAGTGAAGCTACAGTAACCGTCAGCAAATGGTTCTATAAAGTCAATAAAGACAACAATAATGCTGCCATATTTCATTATTATTCCCCAAAAAAAGAATTTATGATGAATAGTGCATAACGAGTTCAGCTACAGTACAAAATCAGTTAAGTGTGAAACCGCTGCCTCAATTTGAACAGTAAATGTTGGATACTCTCTTTTAAAGTAAAGGGGATATATTTGTATTTAATTAAAAATTTGGATTAAATTGGCTTTTCAAGAGAAAAAAGGGGACAGATCCAATAGAACGCCGAAACCTTCTTGAACTTCACGACGATTACAAAAACGTCCCTCTTTTCCATATATTGAATTCTAGCTGGGGAAATCTTACAGAGTAAACCTCATCGGAACAGTTTGGGAAACTTTTGAAAAGGAGGGATGACTATGTAATTATAAACCATTTGCCCTATATATTAAGCGCCTGTTTGGAGCCATTTTTTATGCATTAAATCACTAACCATCGTGTGTAAGTCACGACTATGGCAGTGAACGACTACAAATAGAATTATTCTTAAAAATTGCTCCCAAACTTAGGATAAGAAATGCTAAGGACCCATTATTAATGCTTCTTGATTTTCAAATCTTTGCTTGATCAATTTTTGGGCATTGTGAGTCTGACAGGTTGGAGATGGCTCATGTTGCTATTGTTTCTCTCATGAACATTCTTGACAGGATCCTCCATGGTTCCACCCATGTTGAAATTTCATATTGGAACCGCCATGAAAATAGATTCTTTATTTCAAGGGATGGAAAGCGTCAAATTGGATCTCGATATGTAAAACTGAGTTTATTACTCGATTTTCTTGAAAAATCTTCCAAAAGACAGCGCAACGAAGAAGGGAAATCACTGGAAATAAAAATCATAGATGTGGCTCATCGCACGAAAGATGAAATTGAATCTTGCATATTCGATAATTTTTATTCAGAATCTCAGGATCCTTCAACAGAAATATTCTCTGATCTGTCCAGAAAGAGACGTGCTAGCGAGATTTCTATAAAATTGCAGAACTTAATATAAGAAGTCGATTGCATCACGGAAGAGATGGTGAGGGTTAAAAATGGGAGTGGTGAACATAATCTACAGCAAAAGACTTCTTTGTCATCAAAATCTGTTCCTCATGGCCAGACTACCATAGTGGGATTTGACGTAGATTTGATGCAGATAAAGGATCGACTCTTCAATGAACAGCAATCTAAGCTCCAAATCGTTCCCATTGTTGGGATGGGAGGGAGTGGTAAGACTACTCTGGCTATGAATGTTTATGGTGATTCATTTGTGGCACATCACTTTTATATTCATGCTTGGGTAACATTGTCTCAACACTATAGTGTACGGGAAGTTTTTCTAGGCCTTCTAGATGAAATTGTTGTTCTTACTCATGAAAATCATTACGAGTCAAATGAAAAATTAGCAGAACATCTGTACAAAAGTCTAAAGCTTAAGAGATATCTAATAGTAGGTGGATGATATTTGGAGCATCGAGGTTGGGATGGAATAAAAATGTTATTTCCAGATGATAACAATGGAAGTCGAATCATATTCACAACCAAGCTAACAGATGTGGCTGATTATGCCAACTCTTTTAACACCCATCACCAGATGCGATTTCTTAACGAGGAACAAAGTTGGAATTTGTTTCATGAAAAGGTGTTTGGACAAGAAAATTGCCCACCTGAATTTAAAGTTATTGGTCAGCAGATTGTGAAAAGTTGTCGTGGACTTCCTCTATCAATTGTGGTAATTGGTGGAAGCTTCCTTGGGTCCCTTTAGCAATACTGTATCTAAGTAACTTGAGATACCTTGCTATCAACTGCGAATATGATTTTCCTTCTTCTATTTCTGTACTCCGGTGTCTAGAAACCTTAATTGTTTACTCGCCACAACATCTATTGCCCAACATAGCATCGAAACTATAGGATATGCGAAAGTTAAGGCATCTCATGTTGGTTCGAATTTTCCTGCCCAGTACTCAGTTTGCGGAAGTCCTGGAAAATCTCACGACAATATTAGCAGTAGCAAATTTTGTATGTACAGATATGGTCATCCGTAACATTCAAAATCTGAAGAAATTGGGAATTTTTTTTGGAGGTTGTGAGAAGAGAAGGTGTTGAAGTGGTATGGCGCCTAGGCGCCCCAATCATGGAACTGGGTAGCAAGGCGCCCCGATACACCTATTTAAAGCTGTGTTTTTTCCTTTCATTAGGTTAACACCCGATTTTAGAGGAGAGAAAATAGAAAAGGCTTGGATAGAATTTATCAAGTAAGAGTTTGTTCTTCTTGGGTATAAATTCAAAGTCATTTTTCTTTCTTTGGGATTAACTTGAGGCTTGTTCAAGTAATCAAAATCCATTGTTCTTCATTTATATATTGAAATCATTTCTTCCCCAATTTCTTATCTTCCAAAGTGGTTTGGGATTTTTTTTTTCACATTTCAAGTTGTTTGATCTTGGGCATCTTTGGGAGTGTTGTTTTCCAACAATTTGGTATCAGAGCATCTTCTTAAATCCGGGTGGTTATGCTCCGATTTTTGGTGGGTTAGCTTAACTTTGTTGTGCACACAAGGTGTTTGTGAAAATTTCCAAGTGAACTTTGCTGGTTTATTTTCGGTAAACAAGTAGATAAGTCATGGCTATTAGAGGAACGGTGAAGATTGGGAAGTATGAGATAGAGAAATTTAATGGGAAGAATGATTTCTCATATTGGAGAATGCAAATGAAAAATTTGTTAATTTCTCAAAAGTTGCACAAGGCATTGGCGGGAAAGGAGAAGAAGCACATAGATATGTCTGACGAGGATTGGGAAGAGCTAGATCTTGAGGCATGAGCGTCTATCATTCTATGCCTTGAAAGAGATGTTGCTTTCTTGGTTGATGGTGAGGTAACGGCGGCGGAGGTGTGGACAAAGTTGGAGACGAACTTCATGACGAAGACTCTAACTAATCAGATCTATTTGAAGTCCAAATTGTATACTTGCAAGATGGATGAAGGTACACCAATCCGGGAGTACATCAACAAGTTTGATAGGTGCATATCGGACTTGAAGGACATTGATGTGAAAGTAGATGATGAGGATCAAGCACTTCTACTACTTCTTTCATTGCCAAAGTCTTATGAAAACCTAGTACAAACATTGATGCTTGTGGGTGATAAACTTGTAATGGAGGACACTAGAACGTTACTTCTAGCGGATGATCTTCGAAAGATTGCAACTAGTGGCATGTCTACCATTGGTAACAAGGAGCAAGCTCAAGGATTGTTTGTAAGAGGTAGAAGCAATGTGCGACCAAAGGCAAGGGAGAAAAATCTAGATCGAGTTCTAGACCTCTTGCGGAAAGGCCTTGTTTCAAATGCGGCGAGCTTGGACATTTCAAGGTGAATTGTACTAACAAAAAGGGTTCAAAGAAGAACAATAAGAACAACAACAACGGGAAGGTGCAAGTCAAGCAAGAGGTAAGCTATGCCTCGGAAGGAGGGAAAAGCGATGAGTGCTACACCATCTCTTGTGATGAAGAAACCTCCGGTAAGTGGATTCTTGACTCTAGATGCTTTTACCATATGTGTCCAAATAGGAAGTGGTTTACTACCTATAGAAGCACTGATGGTGGAACCGTGTTGATGGGTAATAACCATTCCTGTAAAACGGTGGGGCTCGATTCAATTAGAATCAAGATGCATGATGGAGTGGTTAGAACATTGATGGATGTTAGACATGTTCCTGATTTGCGGAAGAACCTTATCTCTATTGGTGCCTTAGACTCCGGTGGTTGCAAGATTGTAACATGGAATGGAGTAAAGAAGGTTGTTCGTGGTTCTTTGATTGTGATGAAGGGTATTCGTGAAGGCGATCTCTATGCTCTTCAGGGTACTACAGTTAAAGAAGATGTAGCAGTTGGAACAAGTGGAAATGGTGGAGACCCATGTGAGTGCACTCGGCTATGGCATAGGAGGCTTGGGCATATGTCTGAAAAGGGGCTAGATCTGCTAGTCAAGAAAGGTTTGCTAAAGAACTTGAAGAAGCCTTGCATGGATTTTTGCGAGCATTGCGTGTATGGTAAAGCACACCGAGTTCAGTTCTAGCCAAGCAAACATAGAAGCAGAGGCATTCTAGACTATGTACACACGGATGTATGGAGTCCGACTTCTATCACTTCCAAAGGTGGTTCCAGGTATTTTGTTACATTTGTTGATGATTATTCTAGATATGCTTGGATTTATTTTTTGAAGCATAAGAATGAGGTATTCGACACTTTCAAGAAGTGGAAAGCAATGGTTGAAAACAAAACAAGAAAGAAATTGAAGACACTGCGATCTGATAACGGTACTGAGTATACAGATGGTGCTTTCAAGGAATTCTGTGATAAGGAAGGCATCGCGAGACACTGGACAGTTAGAAATACACCGCAACAGAATGGGGTCGCAGAAAGACTGAATCGCACATTTCGAGAGAAATCGATGTGTATGCGATCCTATGCTCGTTTGGGCAGAGAATGGTAGGCAGAGTCGGTTGCAAATGCTTGCTACATAGTGAACCGGTCTCCACATTCAATGTTAGATGGAGATGTACCTTACAGGGTATTGACAGGAGAACATGCAGATTATGAGAAACTTAGAATATTCGGATGCACAACCTACTATCATGTCAACGAGGGAAAGCTTGATGCGAGGGCCAAGAAGGCTATATTCTTGGGGTATGCTGTAGCTGTTAAAGGCTATCGCCTATGGTGTGTAGAGGGTTCTAAGTTCATAATCAGCAGAGATTACTTTTGATGAGAACTCCATGATAGCTTTGTTGAAAGCTACAGTGCCCAGTGGTGATGATGTTGAGACTACAAAGTCTCAAGTTGTTGACATAGAACATAGAGATCAGCCTGATTCTAGGCATGTTCAAGAGGAGCATCATGCAGACACTCAAGATGAGAGTGATGATGGACTTGAACAAGAGGCGGTTCAGCAAGAGAATGTACAGGCACAGCAACAACAGCAGCTTGCAGATAACTTGGCTTCCTCTAGGCCACGCCGTACTTACAAGCAAGTTCTAAAGTTGGGGTCAGACGAGCCTTTGAGGCATTATGGGCAGACAAATTTGGTTGAGTATGCACTCTTGGTGGAGGATGATGAGCCTACCACTTTCAAGGAAGCTATTTTAAACAACAATAGTGAGAGTTGGTTGGCAACGATGGAAGAAGAGATGGAATCACTTCACAAGAACCAAACATGGGAGGTTGTCCCATTGCCCATAGGTAAGAAAGCTATTGGTTGCAAGTGGTTGTACAAAAAGAAAGAGGATCCTACCAAGCTCTGTGGTACAAGATTCAAAGCAAGGTTAGTGGCTAAGGGGTTTGCACAAAGAGAGGGAGTTGACTATAATGAGATCTTTTCTCCGGTGGTCAAGCACACTTCCATTCGAGTGCTATTGAGTATTGTTGCTCATCATGATCTTGAGCTAGAACAACTCGATGTTAAAACCGCCTTCTTGCACGAGGACTTGGATGAGGAAATCTACATGCATCAACCTGAGGGCTATAAGGTTGAGGATAAGGAACGTCAGGTATATCGCTTGAGAAAATCACTATATGGATTGAAGCAATCTCCTTGGCAGTGGTACAAGCGATTTGACTCCTTCATGCTAAAGCATGGTTTCTCCAGAAGTGAGTATGACTATTGTGTTTGTATTCGAAAACTTCGGGGAGGTAACTATATCTATCTTTTATTGTATGTGGATGACATGCTTATCGCTTCGAAAAGCAAGGTGGAGATAGATAGGTTGAAATCTCAACTTGGTAAAGAGTTTGAGATGAATGATATGGGGGCTGCTAGGAAAATACTAGGTATGGAGATTAGAAGAGAAAGGACGAACCGGCGAATGTTCTTGAGTCGGAAAGGCTACATTGAGCGGGTTATTACTAGGTTCGGGTTGCAAGGTGCAAAGTCGATGGTGACTCCATTGGCTCCACATTTCAGGCTCTCTGGTAAACAATCTCCTACTACAGCGGAAGAAAAGTTACGCATGGATCGTGTACCTTATGCTAGTGCAGTTGGCAGTTTGATGTATGCCATAGTGTGTACACGCCCAGATATTTCACAGGCGTTTAGTGTGGTTAGTAGATTCATGGAGAATCTGGGGAAGGCACACTGGGAAGCTGTGAAGTGGATCCTGAGGTACATAAAAGGTACTGCGGATACGGGTTTATGTTTTGGTGGAGATGCATGTCATATAAGTGGGTTTGTGGACTCGGATTATGCAGGTGATCTAGATAGACGACGATCTACTACTGGATATGTGTTTTGCATAAATGGTGCCCCAGTTAGTTGGCGATCGATGTTACAGGCTACAGTGGCCCTTTCTACTACAGAGGCCGAGTATATGGTCATGGCAGAGGGAGTGAAGGAAGCATTGTGGCTGTGGGGTCTTCTAGATGATTTGGGGATTGAGCATGATTGTGTAGACTTGTGGTGTGATAGCCAGAGTGCGATTCACTTGGTTAAGAATCAGGTTCATCATGCTCGAACCAAGCATATCGACGTCAGGTATCATTTTGTGCGTGATGTCATATAGGAAGGTGATATTTCTCTCTTGAAGGTACACACAAATGAGAACCCAGCAGACATGTTAACCAAAGTGGTAACGGGTAGCGAGTTTCAGCATTGCTTGGACTTACTTCACATTACTCCATGTTAATATGCCCGAGTGGGCATGGCCCTTCGGGGCGAGGTTGAAATGAGGTGAAGAGTATATGAAGGTGGAGGTGAACTACGGAGGCTTGATTCCAAGTTTTGGGTACGTAGGCAACTATGGTTTGAATGGTGCAGCCAAGTTTGGCGCTTGCTGCTTTTTCTTGTGTTCGTCCAAAATTTGAGGTCTATCAAATGATGTACGAGGTGGAGAATTGTGAAAAGAGAAGGTGTTGAAGTGTTATGGCGCCTAGGCGCCCCGATAGTGGAACCGGGCAGCAAGATGGCGCCTAGGCGCCCCGATACACCTATTTAAAGCTGTGTTTTTCCTTTCATTAGGTTAACGCCCGATTTTAGAGGAGAGAAAATAGAGAAGGTT